TCACGTCCCTCTCACAGGCTTCCTCCCTTTCCCAATTTCTGAATATACAGCTCTGTTTCAAATCAACCCCACAGTGTTCCTCATTTGTTGTTGTCTGCCTAAGGTGTTGCTCCATGTTTATGGAATGTAGTTTTACTGGAAAAATTCCTTGGCCAAAACCTTCAAAAGGAACTACTCATCTTGAGTCTGTTTTCCATGACACTTGCAAAGCTCTGACTTTTGGGAATGTTGGTTTCCTCAGTCTGAACACAAGACCTCTTTGAAGTATCTCAAGTTGGGCAACTAAAGATTGCAGAACTGAAATTGCACCTGACATGTAAAGAAGGTTGGTCCTGTTTATGTTTACCAATTTTCTTTTCCTCTTGTTCAATCAGATTTTGACAGGCAAGTGGTGTTCTGAGCTGTGAGGACATGAAATTAAGACAAAACTGGGTCCTGAAAGAAGTTTCCAGACCATGCTGCTGTGGAGGTCTTTTACTCCAAACCAGAATTCATGTATATACTGTAAGTGCTCAGGATTTGTACTTATGTAGCTGAGATCAGAATTGGCTTTAAAATACTCTATACGTACTCTGTTCTTGGATTGCAAAATAATGAAATAGATTTTCGTGTATTTCAGTCTTTATTTCTCCTCCTTTTATATCCCAAGGAACTTATGACAAATAATATACTCACTGGTTCCTAATATGTTACCAAACATAGTAGGTTGGATGATGAATTAAAACCAAATGGAGTTCTGAATGTTTTGCTTTCAAACCACTGGTAAGCCTGCATGCTTTAAAAATAAACTTTGTTCCCCTTTTGCTCAGACTACTGACAAATGATGTGACAGGGAGGCAACTCTGACCGTGACACCTGTGAATGATGTGAAAATAACTTTTTAAAATAGCAATTGTGATGTGGGGCTTTACACGTCTCCAGAACATTTCAAACGGGAAACAATCTCTGTGTTTCACCAGCTTAGGTGTAGCTCAGCTAGGAAGTGCACAGTTACATTGTAAACCTCCCTCTTTGTTCCTAATTGGCAGCCTTGTTAACAACATCAGCAAAGAACTATTTACTGAAACCTGGAAGCTAAAAGGTCATACCATAAACTTGTCATGTCGTTACACTCTTTCCTGGGCATCCACTAGCAGCTGTTGCGAAAAACAGGATACCTGAGGCTGATGGACTTTTGTGCTGACTGAGGACACAGTACAATAAATATTCACACATTAGATAACTAAATAGTAGTTTGAAAAGTGAACCTCAAATGCACTTTAAAGCATGCATTAAGAATTCTGTATGGCTGCTGCCCTTGTTGCTTAGCTAAACCTGTCAGGGTTCACAAGTAAAATCACATAGGTTTTATTACAATGAATTCAGCATGTCTTCTAAAGACATGCAATTCACAATCTGCCTCCCCAGAATAAACTGGAAATGAAGAAATACATTTATGCAAGGTTCAGGTACACTATCTGGTTACTGTTGGAACATTTAACTTTAAGTGCATGTTCAAGTGCCATTGAAGTCACAGGTGCCTTGTCATCTCCATCTCCTGCTTTGCTTACTTGAGCAGGTACCTTAAAATGAAGCCAGAGATGCTATAAGCAGCAATCTCTAAAATTAAACTTCTGCAATGCTAGTGGCTCACTGATTTCCATATCAAAGGCACTCAGGCGGCAGCTGAAGAGATGGCTTTTCCCTGTTTGTCAGTTATGCAAGCAGGTCTTTGCTGTCACTTGGCTAGGATTATGGAAAGAAACAAGCACCACTGGAGGGCAATTCAACCCCTTGTCTCATACACCTATTTCAGGATGACAGGACTTGCTTTCAGAGGTACCTATTTCTGTCTTGACTCCAAAGGACCTGGTGTGACCAGCTCAATCCTTTTAGAAGGCATTCCCACTAGATTCACTCCTTTCGAGTCAAAGCAGATGTTTTTCACCCTGTACGTTATTTATAACATTAATCAAGATTGAGTGGATAGAGCATAATATAATGCCTGCATTCTGAAGACTAAAAGAAACTTAAGTAGAAAAGGAATGAATATATCTTTTTTAAAGTATTTCTAGTAGAGCTTAGCTGACTTGGCTGCTACATTCCCATTTTGGAATCCGACTTTAATCTGGAGTTTAAGTTGAAACTGTGCTTTAACGGGGCTGACAGGTACATCAGTGGCTGTGTTGCATACCTTGGGAGGACAGGGAAATGCCTCCATGTATTGCATTCACAACTTTATTGGCAAACCAAGTCTAAGGATGCCGTCTTGGGATGGGTTTGTCTCTACCATTTCACTAGCAGGGTTTGCATAGAGAAAGGCTGAAAACTGTTATGTGCTAAGAAATCCAGGGAAGAATTAAATGTTAACTTCTTCCTTCTGATTATTTCCTACTTATCATATTATTGCTGAGTGTTTCATCCCATGCAGTTGTGTGAACATGTATGTTTTAGTCAGGCATCTACTTGCAAAATTGAGAGACAAGACTTCCGGCGCAAAACAATGAATGCCCTCTAGTAAAGAAATAAGTCATTAAATAAGGGCATCTATGAATAGAAAGGGTTGTAAAAACAAATAGGAGAAAGCATCTGGCTTGCAACATCTTTGCACAATTTGCAGTAGCTAAATCTGGACTCAATTAGTGACCTGTTTATTTTCCAAAATTTCAGTAAAATGCCTTGGCAAAAACTTAATCTGTCTCTGGAGAACATCTTACTTCCTTCCATATGTTGCCCGATCTGTCACAGCAATAAACTTCTTCAAGAAGTTTCAAGATCCCTAACGATTGCACCAACTTATGCTTTCCATAAAAGAAGAGATAATGGTTTCAGCCCTCTACAAGTCATGATTCTCCCTTAAGAGAAAGCAACACAAAGGAGTGCAAGAGGCAGTGAGTGCCCTGTGTTAAAGCCTCTAGTGTGACCTAGAATCCAGACATTTAAAACAGTTCCTACCTACAATTCATCCCAGCTGTTTTATAATCCCTCTGAATTTGATAGTTTCTCTAAAATGCTGCCATGCCACGATTAATATATATGCCTTGGCTTTGTAAACACTTGTTCTGCTGTCCTTGTTGTTTAGAGTGCCTTCAAAAGAAACAGCTTAGGCTGTTTAGTAATTACACATTTATGGTTTTATATAAAACAAACCAGATGTTTCAGAGTCAATTTTATTTGGTGGTGTCTTGTCTAACCTAGATTCTGAAATGTATTTGACCTCGATTTGAATCAGATTAGGTATCTTTTGTTTTATTATATGCCATAAATATGGATGTTCTGGTACCTTCCTGTTTCTGAAGAACCCACTCATCCAACCACACTGACTTAATAGACAATCTTTTTAAAAAGAATATACTGTTGGTTTAGAGGCTAAATGTGACAAAACAGACTAGTCTACATGAGTCAAACACTTAACTATATAAATTTATACAACATACAGGTGCTCTGTTGAATTAAGACCATAATCAAATAATCCGTTTTGTTCTGAAACAAAAGCAGTTGGAGCTGTCAGGGATATACAGATAGCTCAAATGTAATCACCAAAATACTCATTTGCTAAGCTGATATAAAACTACATGCTCTATGAACTTACGTTTCTTTATGTTCAGGAGTGACGGAGTGAGTCAAGTTGGGATGATAAAAGCCATCCTTACATCAGAATTCAGAGTTCTGCTGATTTTAGAGAAGCTCTTCCTTTTTCTTAAAGTAAATGTCAGGAAAAAAAATGGTCCAAATCTTTAGCTGATAACAAAGCTGTAAGAGTTTCTTCCCAGGAAAGACACTGGGCAACTTCCAAACACCTCACCGTGTGGCAGAAATTCAGGTAGAGGTTCAATGTGTATATGTTTGGTTATGCATGTAATGGCGATTAGTGACATTTGGAAAGTTGACGGTGTCTTTTTGGTTATATAATTTCCCAGCTGGTTCAAAGGAAGCTGACGGGCTCAATGCTGTCATGGAGCTTGAAAAACCTCAGTTGAGAAAAGTAAGAGAAGATGTGGTAAAAGTGAATGAAGTAATAAATAATGCAGAAAAGAGGAATCAATTGTCATTTTTACCTTCCTATGATATAAGAAAAATACAGTGATCAAATTCTAAATGTACAAATTAAAGTTTAAAAATTGAAGAGAAACAATGTGTACTACACGTTGGTTTTACTTGAAAGTACATGATCTGAGTCACTAGTTATACTATTACACAGCAGTCCTTCTCTTATCAGTTTGCTTAAAAACTATCAACTTCTCTAACAGTTGCCTATATTGTATAATTAATTTTCTTCTACTTTGTTTAGTGAGCTACTCTGAAGATGAACATTTACCTTCTCTCAAACAGTGACTTCCACAAATGAAAGTGGAAAAAGTGGTGCCAGCCTTTACTGAAAATCCTTACTTTACCACATCTACACAGACACGCTGCCCTCTGTGACTGGGACAGGGACCTAGTTGGGGCCAGGAGCAATGGCGGGAGATTTAACATAGTGTAACTGAAACTGGGAACCTCAGCAGGAGCTGAGAGCCTCCAGGACCCACAGGCAGCACAACAGCGGCTGACAGGGGCCACACGTGTAAAATAAGCCCTTAGGGAGCAGTTGTGACCAGGGTGTGGCACAGCAGTTTGCACAGAAGGGTGCTGAAGCAGTGCCAGCTCGACCAGGGAGCGACGGTATCCCCCTGGCAGAAAGCCATGGCCTCGCTAAGCTCCACCCACACCCAGCACGACTGACACAGCTGCCCAGGAACACACTGCCACCCAGGTGCCACCTGCAGGGTGGCCCCAGCTCTTGTATCAGTACGAGGTGCCAGCTGTGAGCACAGCTGCGGGAGTGCGCCCAGGTAGAGAAACTTCCCTGCTTAATGACAGGGTGGGGGGATCCACAGCCCAGCTGAGGTGTATCTACATCAATGCCCACAGAATGGGCAACAAACAAGAGAAACTGGAAGCCACTGTGCAGCAGGAAAACTGTGACATAGTTGCCATCACAGAGACATAGTGGGATGACTCGTACAACTGGAGTTCTGCAATGGGTGGCTATAAACTCTTCAAAAGGGACAGGACAAGGAAGGAGAGGCAGTGGGATAGCTTTGTAGGTCAGGGAGTGGTTTGACTGTCTGAAGCTTGATGATGGTGACACTTGAAAATATCATATGCATAATCAAATCACAGTGTTTTAAAGTCACTCATGACTCTTTTGTTTTGTGGCTTGAGATAGTTACATATTTGTTTCTGAAGTAACATTTGCAAGTTGGGATTACTGCAAAATATTTGCTAAAGAAGAGTGTGAATAGTTCACAGACTTGTCAGAATCCATCTGTTTGTGTCTATTAATGAGTGCATTCCCAGCTGCAGTCTTTCCGATGTAATAAATAAAAAGTTTCTTTCTTACTATAAATACAAGGGCTGAAATCTCCTTGTAAAATTGATTTATTTCAATAAAAATCTGTCCTTATGTTAAAGACACCTCTTAAAATGAGTAAGACCATGAGATGCCATTCACATATTCTTTCGGCAAACTGACGCATAAATGACTCAGTCTCAAATAATTTACTACAGCATTTTCCTGGATAAGCTGTGAAAAAGCATGCCATTCAGATCAGGATGAATGGGACTGGGATGGGAAAAATAAGGTGTATTTACCAGAGGCATGAGAGGCACATTGAAGATAACCTAGAGGTTGGGACAAATGCTTAGGTCCTCACTCCTCCATGCAGTGAATCCAACATTAACTTAACACATGTATTCAACACACTTTAGGGAAGTGCAAGCTATGAACCAATAAAGGAGGTTCCTAAATCTTTAGGAACCCTGTTTTTGCAATGCTAAGTGTAATTTTTCAGTATTTTGACTGAGTTACATTTCTAATTTTGGTTTTGACTTAACCCTTTTAATGCACCCTTAAGCTATCCTCTTCCTGAAGCTAGCAGCTACCATGAATTTCTTCATAAATTACAGCAACAGAAGACTGTATACAAAGATATTTCAAGCTACTCTTTGCTCAAACTCAGAAAGATCTACATATGATATAAGGTACATTTGAACTATGCTACTGTCCTGAAGGCAACTTCCCCTTAAATTCTTTCTATAACAAAGCCAATACTCCAGTTTTGTGGGGTTTTTTAAAGTGCTTCTGTATTAAATGAACTGTGAAGGTTTAGTGCCTTCTGCATCATCATGGCCTAGAAAACCAGTCCTCCCCAGAAAACATGCCGCTTGGTATATCAGAGCACCAGTGCCATTCCTTTAGCTCAAGCAACAGAAGAAACCAATTATCCCCATCTTATTTTACACTGTGACAAGTAAAATTTGTGAAGTATTTATAAAATTAAGGAAGTGATTTTGAAGTTAATGAACTTAGCTTGCTGCTAAAGAAATACGGTTTAAACAATTTTTTGCTAAGCAGAAATTTAAAGTTATAGTGTTTTTGAAATAGATTAGAAATCAAGTTCTTATAGCTTAAAGAAACAAAATGCTTATAAGTTTCAGTGCCTCCTCTTTCGCTGTACTACAGCAAGTTGCTGGATCTGTAAAAAGGACTTCTGGATAGAAAAACTTTTCTATATACTTACTGTTAACAGCAACAAAGAAAAAATCAGTATCTCAATGAAATTATCTGTTGAAATATAATTCATTCTGGTGATTATATACAGCAGAGTATGTTTTAGTTTTGATTGGCATGCTAGCTGAAAACATCTTACTTTTTAATTCTCATAAATTTTGTTCCACTTCTACATTGCCAAGTAATGGCAGTAATTTCAGAACTCTATGCCAGAGCATGGAGAGTTTGTACATGCTGCTTCAGACTAGCACCCTGTAAGTAGAAAGGCCATATCTGCACTGCACAGTTTTGAACTTCATATAAGTATCTCAGGAGCCAAACATGTACTTTTGGGCATATTTTCTTTCTTTAAGTGACTCACATAATGTATGAACTGTGTTACAGTCCCTCAGTCTGGGGGGATTATGTCATTAAACTGGGGACACGTGTTGCACACCTCTGCATGTAACACTGGGGCACGTGGAGGTGACTTAGTTTAGTGAACTGAGTGCAACTTGCATAAATGTACTGTAATTAGATGTGATTAAGTCCTGCTGCAAAAGCACAGAAAATAGGGCTTCTGGGTGGCACTTTATCCTTGAGGATAGAGTATGCCTTGAATATTCCACTATCTTAATAAAATCAGTTATTGTGTCTAATATTCTGTGACGCATGTTGCCTACACACACTAATTGATATTACTGTATGTAAATTACTGCCCTCTACTGGAATGACAGGTAGAGTATTTCACATGAAATTGATTATTATGTAAAGGGATTAAATTGATTTTTGAAGTTTTGTGTTTTATGGAACCAAGTGCCATGAATTGCAGATGTTCCTGATCCCTTCTTGTAGCATAGCTACTTGCTGCACACATATCTGCAGGCACTCAGCCTTTGCTTATTTGCAGTATAAGGTGCACCAGGATGGTCTAATTGTCAAAATATTTTCATTTTTGAACTGTAAACAGGATGTGCAAAGGAGCTACAGAATTGCAGTCTTCTTGTGAATGCTCTAATGTCAGTCAAGGAACCTCCTACACTGTCATATTTTTAAGCTTGCAATAATCAAAAGACAACATCACAAATTCTTAATTTATTGAAAATAATATTCCCCAAACCAAATTTTCAAGAATTGAAAGACAAGCATCACTTCTTTAAAATCATGAGGCTGGCTCAAAACTGACATTTTACAAACTACTTTTTTTTCCTGTCTTTTCTGACTCTGAAGTTCACATTTTCTTTTTAAATTTGCTATTCAGATTTGCTTCAGTTGAAGTGAAAGCTGGGTTTCTCAATGAATTGTGACTTGACGAGATGATTTTTACAGGAGCTATGATATACAGCAGCGCAGGATTTGGCCATGGTATGACAGAAAAGCAAAAGAAATAAGGAAGAGCAAGACAGAACATCTGTCTCTCAAGAAATACAAGAAAACAAATGTGAGTCAAACCACTACTGTGAAATAAGGCCATTGCCCAGCAAGTATTGCATAGATCATATTGTTAAGTCATCTACGTTCTCAGAATCCTTAAAAATATGACAATATGGGACATTTTGAAGGGTTTTTTCATTCAAGCAAAAAGCAGTAACGCAAAATTCAGAATTGAGACTTCACTGATTCCTGAAACTAAGCACCACGTCCTACTGTAGCTGGAAAGCAGAAGAATGGGAATCCAGTCTCCAGGGCCTTCCTGAGTCCAGAAATGTCACATCTTTAGGAATTCGCTGGCAGACACCAACAGACTGTATTGATGTTCACTAAGTAGCTAAAAGTTTACTGTGGATATAAATGTTCTATATAAATGTTCTGGCATAGTTAGTATTATAAAGTCAGTCACTTGCATGTGGATATGGAAATGGCCTATAGGATTACAGTCATATGAATAAATACAAAAACATCTAACAGGAAATAACTGAGAAGATACATTATTTAATATGCCATGACTGATATTAAGAAGCAATCTTGGGACGGAAAAATATCATCACTGTTTAATGTTAGACAAATACATTAAGTATTTGTATCGTCTATATGAGCTCCTATATATCTTTGAAAAATATGAGTACCAATAAACCATCTATCTAAATATACAGGAACTTAAACAATATTGTATTATAAATACTGCTTCTGGAAAAATAGTACTATGAATTTTTTCCAATATTATGGTCTGCAAACATCAGCAATAATTACAATGCCTGCAGGAATACTCCATAAAGGCAGAGTGTAGCGAACTGACAAGGTATCAGCCTTTTTCTAGTCACATAGAAACATCTACAGGTGGAATGAACTGAGACCATGTATACGGCCTCCAGAAAAATGGAGACCTATCAAGGATCTTCTATAAATAGCTATCAAATGGAAACTGACTGATTCAAGTGGTATCCAGTTCTATTGCCAGCACTGATTCCCCATTTTATCAGCAGAGATTTGTACTCATACTGTCAGGAAATCAACTATTCAAAATTGAATTTCTTTTAGGAAAATAATCCCTGATATAGCTCTCTCTGATGGAAGCAGTACTTGTTCACATACAAAATTTATTAAATGTAAAACCAGAAGATAAATGTTGTTGTCACCCTAGGAACCTCTGCTACTCCTCCACGGTAACTCCAGATCCTACACGGCAAATGGCAGCAGAGACACGGGTTTGAGTATGAGAAAACTACATTCTTCTCTGGACTTTGAGACAGTGGGGAGTCCTCCATCATCCCCCTTCGCAGTCTCATGCTGATACAGAAATACTTGGCAGGTCAAGCATATTGGTATTTTTGTAATCGTATTTCTGGAATTAACTTCTTGTTGCTGAGGGTCATGAGAACCTGGCAGCAGCAGAACTAACAATGGTGGTATTTTGCCACCATTGCTCCCCTTTCAGATTCAAACCACTGGCCTTCAAGGAGTGCCTAGGGAAGGAGATAGAGGATACTGATGTAACTTAGTGCAAAGAAAAGCCTATATATACTTCAAATAAAGTATTCTAAAAAGCCTCCTAAGATTAATACAGAATATATAGCATGAACAATATAATTTATGAGATCAATGACTACATTTTTGGCTACTAATTTTCTTTAGAAGTGATACAAGAGCAGAAAATTTCCTGGCATGCCTGACCAAACGAATCACTCATAAGTCACTTTCTTTCTTCCCTAAAGCACTCTGTCACGAATAAAGAACGCCTTTCATAACTTTTCTCCTTGACAAAGGATGGTCTTTTCCCATTGATGGAGCTCGGTAATGGGGGAATTTACACATATACATCTTATCAACATACATGAGAATCAGCATCTTGTATTCTCCAGTGCACTGGTGGGGACACAGACTGCAACAACTCTGCTTTCTAGAAATATACATGCATGATTTTAAAATAGAACATAAAAGTATGCCCATCAAACTGGCCACAACAAAACGCACATTTTTCACATGTACATCTCCCACAGTCTTTAATGAAAACTGACCTGGCAACACTATTTTATAAAAAATTTCACTCTTTCGATGAATAGCTCTAAGTAGATGAACCTGCCACATTTGCATGTAAGACAAAGGTCTTAATTAAGAATAAATTTCAGTAATATAATAATACCAAGATGCTACAGACTCAAAGTTGGCCCCATAGCAGGATGCTTGCCTTTGCTCAGGAGTTCTCAGAGGACCTGGGAGCCTGGTACATGTGTTTCTTTTCGGCTCTCCTAACAGTGATCTCATATAAAAATAGACTTCAGCTTTTCAGAGTACAAGCTTCAAAAGCAAGTTCTTAAAAATGTTCCATTTTAAATGAAAACTAGAAACTATGAGGAACCTATAGATTTGATACTTCTGTAATTAGGCTCCAGAAACATAACTGCTTTTGCCTCCATACAGGCATGACAGAAAACTGTGCTAAAATTCATTTAGTTCTGGTTGTGATCACTAGCTTTTTAAGACCTACTTTTCACTTCTGTATTCGCAAGGATCAACAGATCAGCTGGTGCCAGGGAGCACCATGCTGCCAGAGGTGTAATTACAAACTTAGGCTTGTTCATTTGCACCCAATAAACCCACAATAAAACACAAACCAACCACAAATTACTTTTAAGAGGAGCAGGTGCATTGCCTTGACATCTTTGCCACATGCTGAATGTGGCAGTTATTTTCTGCTGGACAAATAAGTCTCCATTTTCTAACCTACTTCAAATAATGTTCCGTTTCATCTCTGACATAAATGCATTTCAGTCATATTTGAAGAGATACTTGTAGCTGGCAATTAATGTAGAAGGTCCTCCTGAACAGTTAAGGATATCCTAGAGTAGGTCTTCTAAAACTTTCCATTTAACAAATTAATTTTGGCTTCTTTAGACTAAAATTTTCTTTTACTCATGAGCCTGCCTCATGGTCCTGTTTCAATTGTTGAAGCTTCATGTAATCCATTTCTAAGAAAAAAATTAGTCAATCCTATGTTGTCCCACTGTACATTTTCATGCCACTTGATTTGAGACACTAGCGCTTCATCCTTTGGAACAAAAACCTGTAACCTCACAGTGAAGGTTCCAGAGTAACTCTAGCAACAGTGCTTGAAAAATCTGTCCAAACTTGGACAAATTAAAAAATTTTGAAATGGCAGTCTGAGCAAACCACTGGAGACTTAGTGGAAAACTTGATCCCAAAGTGCGCTTACTCAGAGCATGGCCAAGCCAAGAAAAGAGTGGGAACATCCAAAATCCTTCCCCAAAACTACCACAGGCAGTTGCTTCTGAAGAGCTCTGCAGCTGAGCAGGAGTTGGGACAGTGCTTAAGGGTATCCTGCCTGGTACTGCTGTTGCAGCAGGCAGTAGAGAGTATGTCAATGAAGAGATAAGAGGAATTGTACCAGAAAAGCTAGAGGAAATCAAGTAGGGATTTAATGTCTTCAAGAACACAGAACATACAAAGTATCGTGGGACGTGAAGCTTAGGTGAGAAGAGATTTGGCAAAAAGACTGAGGGTGTATCTGTGCCATAGACACAGTGGAGGCAGCCTTTCAGAGCAGAAATCCTGGCAGCTATCTGTGTAGATTGCTAAACCACAGCTAAAAGCTAAACCAAGGAAATTGGAGTCAAAGCTTTCTATTATTAGAAGAATGTTAGGGTCATGAAGTTTTCAAACTTCAGTAAGTCTCAGAGTTGAAGTCACCTGCTTAATTCTAACTCAACTCTCTTCCCACTAGGCATTAGGACAAAGTCTTAACTTCATCCTTACATTCAGTTTCCAAGGATCCCATCTGATGATATACAATGGTTTGGTCTGGCTAAGCCAGCAGCTGCAGGACCCCTGGAGGGTGGGAGACAGCATACAG